CAGACACCTCATACATCTTGTAACTTCTGGCAATTATTATAATACCAACCAGATGATTGTCATGCCACGACACCTTTTCTAGGAATCACAATCTCAACATCCTATTGGATTAGTGTGTAAATGATTTCTTATGGGAAACAGAGCTTAACAGGTTATGGCTTCAGATACTATTTTTAATTTGGTTCAACCACCTTCACCTGGGATTGAACTGGTATCTTGTAATCTGACCTGTGAAGTGTTAACCACTACACTATGGATTCACAGGTCAAAGTATACAATTAATATAGAATAATTTTATATATAAAAAACATTTGATATAAATTTTAAATAATAATTATTAATAAAAGATATATATTGTTATACTTGCCTCATATAATTTTTTTTAAAAAATCAAATCTCTAATCTTATTTTTTTTTCATCAATAATTTTATTTCAATGTATTAACATATGTTTTTAATTTATTTAAGGTTTATAATAATAAAAATAGGTAAATATAAAAGACTTTTACATAGATATCAAAAGATAAAAAAAAATTTTTTTTTTTAAAAAATATAATATATCAAAAAGAGTTTTTTATAAATATTTATTATGAATCTACAAAATATTTCTAATACGTAATTATAATATACAATATATACGTACTATATACTATATACAGTACTATACAGTATATACGTTATACAGTGTTATGATTATTATCATTATTAAAGACAAGATACGAAATTAATTTATAATGCAATCCCTTTTTAACAAATTATAATAAGTAAATAAAAATCATAATAAAATAATTTACAATAAATAAAATAATAGCAATAAATTAAGCACATAAATGTATTTGTTTAACGTTGGATGCAATTCAGTTCTCATACATGTGAGCGGCATCTGGCATGCAATTTTATGGTCTACACGAAATTTTGCAATAAATCAAATAAATCATAAATAAAATTGAAATTACTATTTTTAAAGTTGCATTGGATCTTTAAATAGTCCCTGAACACACTTTGATGCCAAAAAGGTGAACATGAATGTGAACATTCAAATTAATTAATTTGTAAAAAATGAAGCGAATAAAATTGCACAGAATCGCATATAGCACAACAGGAATTCGAAAAGTGACAGAAAAGCAAAATTTAAGTGTAATTATCGATTGACTTTTTTTTTAAACCGAAAATATCTATGTGGCGCAATCAAATATAATAAATACATACGCGCATATTAATTTTGCAAGGAATTAACATTTCATTGGTAATTTTCTAGTCACCCAGAAGATCTATTCAGATATTTCATGGAAAGTCCTTTCTCTTATGAATAACAGCCGGGATGGGTAACACTTTATAAGGCTAAAACGAGAAAACAGTTGTTAATTAGTTGATTTTCAGTTGAATTACATGGGAAATACTATTTTTGGAATGTGTAACATAACATTCCCTTTTATAAAAATTCTACCATACCTTATAAAGGAAAGTGGATGATTCATGTGATCATTCTTAATGTAATAACACAAGGGATTTACAGAGAACCCCTTTACTGTATACCCTCTTAATACTCATGTGATAAAAAAACCCTATCTTTCATTAATCATGACCACGGAGCGTTAAAGGCGCAATTACAGTAGAAGTGGGAACCAGGACCATTTAATCCGTTGATCGTCAACGTTTCACTAGTTGTAAAAGATATGCTCGAATGTTTATAGTACGTGCGCCTCAAAATTCTCACAATGTATGACCTGAAACGTAAAAAATTATTAGAAAGGTCATTATTTAATATTCTTTTATTAAACATCGAATTACGAAATGACAGAGTTATACATAACGAACTTGACCATGGCACTATGTATTTGCAGGCCTTGTGTAAAAAATACCGGACAGATGAAACGAGTTTTATTTACTCATATCTTGTCTTTGTGAATGCAATTCGCGTTCTTTCGCCTTTTCGATTCGACATAATTTATCCTTGCATCATAAAATTCGCATTTGCTTTTCCAAAGCCATATCTCTCAATTTTAATATGAATAAAAAATACATGTTTTTTAATGTAGTTCCTTTTCTGGTGCTAATGCATAGAATTCGTGGAGAAAAGCGCCAAGATTTCTTATTTTTGAGGTTTCACGGCAAATTGCACCAATCATCTGATAGCGTTTTGTAATGAGAAATGCTAAATGTTGAAGGGAAAGTGAACTTATTTTACGTACGCTGGGGAGATCTCAGAGTTGAAGTGTACGTCAAGAACAGGTAATACAAGGATTTCACTTAAATGGTAATTGAATCCCGATCACAAGGCGATTGTCCTTTTTCGTTCCCCACTTTTGTTTCCCATTTATGATCAACACGGAGAAATCGGGTTTTTCTGGTCTCAGGTGACCTTTATATCATATTTCATTGACCTTGTTGATGAAATTAGGAAATTAGGAAATAGGAACAGAAGCGATAAGATAAAGAGATCTGAGTTGAATAAGGAGATCGGTAAACAGGAATAAGGTCAGCGGGCGGGAATAAGGAAGTTAGTGAGCGGGAATAAAGAGAAGATATTGTGTCAGAGTGAGAAGGAGAAAAGTACAATCACGGATTGATTGATTTTGGAATTATATTTTTTTTTTTATATATGTTGACCTTCCTCTTTTTTCCTTCCAAGATTCACCATCATTCCTGTCATGATTATAAACGTAAATTTCACGAAGCGAAAATCGAAAAAACAAAAACAAATAGACAAATGTATAGTCGAATGAACTCCGAGGTGTGTTAGAAAGCGTATCATCAGATGTATGACCTTTAGCGACAGAATGTCACCGTGGTTTATTGATACATGCGGTAAAAATTGGTTCTAAAGCCACGGTGTGTCAAGTCCGAGCGTTAATTGACGAAAAATGATTGAAGGCGATTGCGCCTGAATGCAGTTAATTTATCACCACAGTTTTGAAGTTTTGAATGGCGTAAACTTTTTGAGAAATAAGAAAGCGACGATTAGGTGACGCGTTCAATGAAACCCGCGTCGTTAATGTTTCACCGCAATTTGCAGCCAACGCTAATGATATCGCGTGATAGGACCCATCGTGAATCGGGCGATTCGGTTTATTTGAGTCTCACAGCAACATCAGTTAAAGGTTTGACACATTTCCAAGAATCGACGCGTTTTCGTTGTTAGTCAGTAACGTGCACATCCCTGAATTTGGCTTACAAAATTGAAATAACACTGTGTAAATGTTTACGGGAACACAAAAAAAATAAATTAAAGGAAGATGCCACAAACATTTGCGAAAAGAAAGAGCTCATTGTATTCTCTATATTGAGTGTTCACCGTTAAAGTTTTACTAAAGTGTCACGTTCCAGAACATAAAGACAAAAGGGTTTTTTCTTTCTATTTTGACCTGGTTTCATTTATTCATACTAATTGATCTACATGCATGAATTCCTTTGACTGTATGCGTCTATCACACCTTAATTTCACCACGTTTTGCGTATAATGAAGTCAACTATCGTTAATTTACAACAACAAAAAACTAGGGACAAGGGTGACGATTACGTCATGTTTCTTTCTCTTTATCCTCTTGTCGTTCTTTCTTAATTTATTTAATCCAGTTCGCGTACTAACCAACAAACATACATACCCAGAATAACTATTGGATTTCTAATTACTAATGAGAAATACAAGTCGACTAACACGGTAACACAAGAGGAAACATACGGAACGACCGTTGCAAATTCGTCCACAAATGAAGAATAGACTATGTCGCACATGAATAACATAGCGGCTGACCGATACGTCTCAGGTTGAAGGAATTCTCAAATTCCGAATCTTAGAACTACATTGTGTGCATAATAACGACATTTAAAAGTATTCTCGCCTAATCACCATTATCATCATTATTCCGGTTTGTAATCCAGATAACACAAACATTAAGAGACGGTCCAAACTCGCCTTCAAAACAAGGAACATCTAACAAAGATGTATGTCTTTCTTGGTGGAATCCGTGTAAATTTCTTTGAAGCTGATTGCGGAGTATGTTTGTACACGTACTCTCCCTTGCCTATACGTCTATACGCATTATTCATTCATCAACTCTAAACCTTGTTTAAGTTTTACAAGTCACCACCATGACGATGACGGAGATTGTTTGTTGCTCTTTTTCGGAATCTGTAATTTCCCACATGGCGTCTCCCATTATACAGTACGTACGCATGTACGGGTGCGTTTGACTGTGATACATGATAAAGTAATCAGTAATCCGAAAATGGTTTTCGTCCCATTGCGAGCAAATAATCGATTGCTTATTACGTAGTTCTCTGAACTAGCTCGGTGACACATGTACATTAATTCGTCAATTAGCCAGTTTGTGTTATTAGTATATGCGCACATATTTGTGCGTACATATGTACGAGGAATTACCTCCACGCGAGTTCTCCAAACAATAATCCCCATTTTTGTGGCCCTAATGTTGTACTGTATTTGTGTTCGCGATGATCAATAGTATGTACGTATTAAATAACAAAGGGTCTCGTTTTTTCCTTTTATGTCAAACAGGTCCCAGAACAAGGTGCTTTCTGAAATCGAAGATTAATTTATCGTACAACTGTAATTAAGAGAAAAAAAAGATGTCGATCATTCGATTTCCATTGGACCCTTGGTGTGTTAGATGAGATGCGTATTCTAACCACAACTGTTTACTCGTGTTCTATCGTCCTACTTGGTGTCGAACATATATAGACCGTGGTTTCTCTCATCCCTTTTTCTTCGTCCAAATTTGCGCTTTCTATTCCATCGTCATCATTTCATTTCTTGCTCTGTGAGCAATACAACGAGTTCATTCTTCATTCATCTTTGCATTTTTACACAATTCTTTCAAACTCATCATCATCATCATCATCATCACCTTCCACTTTTGCATATCTTTTCTTTTCTTTTCTTTTCTTTTCTTTTTTTTTTTCTTTGCTTTACAATAGAAAATGTCTAACACAGTAGCCACAGTAACAGAAACAACAGTAGCAACAACACACAACGACAATATGCCAGAATTAAAATCTCCAACAATTTCTAATCCTGATTCAAATACACCTCCCACTCTACCAAAACTTCGCCAAATCGCTCCCGCTCCTCAAAGTAAACCTGATTACGACATCTACCACATCCCGAAAGGTTTTGAGGTTTTACTTGTACCCAAATCTTCGGCAGATGCTTCTCCTTCCCTCACCGGTCATCTGTCTTCTTCGCCTAGCAATGCCATCCCTCTTTCTCCTGCCCCTTCTGAATCGAGCATCCAGGATTCGCCAAAGTCTTCCTCGAAACCTTCGCCGCCAAACAGTTCGTGGCGTAAGCGTAGGAACAACGGGCACATCCCTCGTCCAAAGAATTGCTTCATGGCCTATCGTGAACAAATTCAACGCAAGGTTCTCGAGGAAAACCCGGGAATGAATAACAAGTTGGTTTCCGTGATCGCCGCCAAAATGTGGAATGAAGAGACCGAGGAGGTCAAACAATTTTGGCGTGAGCGTGCCCAGCAATTAAAGATCGAACACATGATCAAATACCCCAACTACAAGTTCGCTCCCAAGAAGAAGCAGTCAAAGCCCAACGCCAACTGTGTCAAATCTGGAAAGGTCGTCAAGAAATCGGCTGACCCAAAGATCATGACCGAAGAACTTGCCAAAGATATAATGAGAAGTGAATATAGTGACCCCGAAACTGTTACTCACTCGTTCAACAATCGACCTATTTTCTGGAGTCACTGTCGTTCTTCGTCAATGGACTCAATTGGTTCTTGGACAAGCGATTCAGCCCCGCCCACTCCTCCTTACATCGATTCGAACTCTCCTCCAACCTTTGCGACACATGATTTCCACGACCATTCTTCTCCCTTAAGGTATGAGACTTGTTCAAAAGTTGATGCCGACAGTCATCCGAGCTCATTGACCGAAAATGGTTGGTTCGGTCAATGTTCTACGATGGGAAATGATTTCCTTGACACTTTGCTCCCCTCGATCGAGTTCGACAACGGTATGAATGTCGATGCCTCCACCAATAGTGGTCCTTACTATTTCGAAGAGGATGACGAAATGGAGTACGCTGAAAGCTTTAACCCTTCCCAAATTCTTGATACACTTGTATTGCCTGGGCAGCACTCCATTCACCAAGGATATCAACACCAACAATCGCTTTATTAGGTTTGGCGCACGGACTTCGAACCGAATCACTGGGTGTTTCACATGAACGAACCCGCATGCACGAAGAAAGTATCTCGTTGATTGCAACAAAATTGTACGCGCACACTTTGGACTTGGACCCTCTCACTCTGTTTCATAATATACATAAATTTTTGTATTTATTCTTATATATACATACATTTTCTTTCCCGTATATAAACATTTTTTGCTGAAATGTATCATTCCATCCACACCATTACCCCTGTATTTTTCTTTCCGTTTCACTCAAAACTATAGACTATACATACTCATAGACTTGGTGATCATATCTTCACCGCACTTGTTCATTTTTTACTTTTTTTTTCTTTTTTCTTGCATTTTAAAAGAACCAAACTCATTTGCACATACACTTCAATTGCATATATTCACAATTTTGCATATACTGAATCTTTTTTATACATAAATCCCTTTTTGTAAGTAGCATATAGACTTTTTTTTTTTTCTTGTAGAATTTCACTCATGCAAAAATTTCTCTTTCACGCTATTTATCTGTCTATCCTTATATTATCCTTACAAAAAAAAAAAAACCAAAAAACCAAAAAAAAAAAAGGAAAAAAACAAAAAAAAATTCAAAAAAAATTCTGCATTTTCTTTCATTTTTTATCTTTATCAAAACCATTTTTTTTTTTTCATTTTTTCTGGCATGTTGTTGTTCGATTCCTACTGTTAACATAAATTCATTCATATGTACAAAGCTTCTCATCACAAACGTCAAAAGAAATTTATACCCACACACGTAAAGGCATTTTTTTTTTAAAGCAAAGAAAAAAAACATAGGCTTTTGTCTCATTCTTTTTAAAGATATGCAAAAAGTACGCTTTTTCCAACGTAAATGAAATATTTATTTCTATACACCACTTAGACACCAAATAAAATCTTAAAATTTCAATAAAACCAAAAAAAAAATAATCTTAAAGTTTTATATGCTCGGTTGACGGGAGTCGCGTTTTTTTTTTTTTTCTTGTTTTCTATTCTGAGAATAACAATTGATGCTTCACGCATGACGCATTTATCTCGGTCGCATATATCCTTTTCCCTTTATGGCAACTAAATAACAATAGTTGAAATTATAGAATATAATGAACTCTACTTTCGGAAAATTTTTACTGTAAATGCGTAGCTTTTAGGTCTTCTGAAAAAGTTTGATGATAATTCATATTTGTTTTTTTTTATTGATGCTCCCGTGCAATATCGTCTATCCAACTTGGTTTCGTATACAGTGTGCTAAGAAATCAATTAAACGATAATTTAAACGAAATAAAAATTTCATAATATTGAATATCTTTTTAGCATACACTCTTAAAAAAGTAAAGAAATTTTTTATACGTTCCATTTTTACATATAAAGGAATTGCGAATGATGATAAAAACAATATCACGTGTTTTAAAATATATCCTGTATATAATTAATTTGTACAAATAATTTTATATATCTTAAATAATTTAAATTTTAGTTTTGATGATAAGACAATTTCAAAGTTTTTAAAAATAGGAATTTACTATATAATCCATAACCTGGCAAACAATCCATTGTACAATTGTCTTAAAAGAGATTAATTCTAAATCAGTAATGATAATAATTGGTAACTGGAATTACTAATACTAATCTCTATAATAGAGTTTCAAATAAGATTCCAAATCAATACCAAAATGGTATCAACTTATAATAAATTTAATATATGGGTTGTGACTTATTATATTAAACTTATAATAAATTCAATATTAATTTAATATCACAATAATATTGTTAGAAGTTTTACTTTATAATAATATTTTATACTTTTTTAATTTTGATTGATGTAACAATTTTATAATATAAAAAATATTTTAAGACTATTTCAATCTCTTGCTTGTTTAAAAAAGATTATAAAATATATTATACAAATAAAAGTTATAAATAATAATAACAAATATAATATTTTCTTTAAAGTTTTAAGCAAAAAATATTGAATAAATCATTTAAATATTTTTATTGTTAAAATTTATGTAGATTAGATTAAATAATTTATAACTAATGATAAAATTTTTATTTTCTAAAAGTTTTACTTGATATATAAGTTTATATTTGTAATAATTAATATTAAAGATATTAATTTTTTTTTTTAAAAAAATAATTAATTATAATATATAAATAATATCCAAATTATATTTTAAGACTAATACAAATTAATACATTATATACTTTTTGCAAATTATTTCTTATATAATATCTTTATTTTAATATTTCAATTTATTGTTTAATGATTTATCTATGATATTGTTACGGTGAAGACACGGCAAGTCAGTCACTTCAGTTTGACTCACGTTGTGTCACGTTTGGGTGGGTTCTTGCTTCTTAAAAGAGGCGTGTGAATTTGACCAGAGTCTGGTAACACCAACGCAGATCAGTCCATCGGTCTGCGTTCTATCAAATTACTTCGTGTGCAGTAGTTCCTTTTATTGCACTACACTGGAAATATTCTCACCAAACCAAACTTTATCAAGAAAGACAATATTTATTACGCGAGTAGAACTTGTTACAAGATCTGATCTTTCTCTTTCTATTTATATACATTTTATATATTATATATA